AGTAGTAGTAGTAGTAGTAGTAGTAGTAGTATTATTAGTAGTAGTAGTAGTAGTAGTAGTAGTAGTAGTAGTAGTAGTAGTCGTAGTCGTAGTAGTAATAGTGGTAGTATAAGTCGTAGGATGATGATGAGGAGGATGAGGAGGAAGAGGACGAGGGGGAGGAGCGGGAGGAAGCATAGGAGGAGGAGTAGGATGAGGAATGTAAGGAGGAGGAGGAGGAGGAGGAGCAGGATCAGGAGGAGGACGAAGACGAGGAGGAGGAAGAGGAGGAGGAGGAGGAGGAGGAGAATGAGGAGGAGGAGGAGGGCGAAGACGAGGATGATGATGATTCTGATGAAGATGATGATGATGATGATGATGATGATGATGATGATGATGATGATGATGATGATGATGATTGAATGATGATGAGATGATTGTTGATGATGATGAATGATGATGATGATGATGATGATGATGGTCGATGGTGGTGTTTGGTGGATGGTGATGATGATGATGTGATGATGATGTTGATGCTGATGATGATGATGATTGATGATGATGATGATGATGATGATGATGATGATGATGAGGTGGATTGTATGGAGAGAGTATAAGTTGGAGGGGGAGGAGGAGGAGGGGAGGAGGTGGAGGAGGAGGAGGAGGAGGAGGAGGAGGAGGAGAGCGAGGAAGAGTATAAGGAAGGCGGAGGAGGAGGCGGAGGAGGGAGGAGGATTGAGGAGGAGGAGGGGAGGCGGAGCGGAGGGGGGAGGAGGAGGAGGAGGAGGGAGGGGGAGGAGAAGCATGAGGAGGAGGAGGAGGAGCAGGAGGAGGAGGAGGGGAAGGAGGAGGAGGAGGGGGAGGAGGGGGTGAGGGAACAGAAAGTCTGGGCACCTCGCCGCCGCCGCGCAGGCACGCATGTGGCTGGGCCTGGCGCTCGCTCGCCTGGCGTTGCCGCTGGACAGGAGTCCGGGCTCCTCGAGGGGCCCTCGGGGAGTCAACGGGGGGTGGCCTTCGGGGGGCCCTCGGGGCCCTTCGGGGTTGCCACAGGCGCCGTCGCCACCGCCGTCACCGCCGATGCCACAGCCGCGGCAGACGCCGCCGCCGCCGTCGATGTTGTCGTCGAGGTCGTGATCGCAGTTTCGGTCTTGGGTCTGGGTCGTGGTCGTGGTCTTGGTCGTGTTCGTGGTCGTCATCGCCAGGGTCGGCGGCGTCGTCGCCGCCGCCGCCGTCTGCTCCGTGCCGACGGCGGCGCGGGTGCCGCCGTGCTCCGGAGGGCGCCCGCCGGGAGGCTTGCTTGCGGCCGCAGCGCCCTGCCTGCGCTGCCTTCCCCTGCGCCCGCGCACCGACCCCGCGCCGCCGCGTCCCGCACGAGATGCCCGCGCTGCCTGCCGCACGCCCGCCCGCGGGGCAGGGTGCGTTTCGATCCGGTCGATGCGCTTCGAGATCGTTTTCGTCCCGCCCGATCCGGTTCGATTCCAGGTTTCCCACGATCCGATGCGGCTCGATGCCTGCACGGCGCTGGTGTGCATCCCAGCGCAGCCGATTCGACTCGCGCTCCGTGCCGAGGGGGAGCGCTTCGAGGCAGATTCCGAGCCGATGAGCGTGCCCGATTCGATGCTGACTGATCTTGCGGGGTCTTCACGGGCCCCCCGCCCCGTGCCTGGGGGCGGACAAGGAGGTGCCCATGCTGCAGCTCCCCGGATCGCTCTCCCAGGGTGCGTGCTGACCGGGGTTCCGAGGAGGATCCCGCCGTGGCGGCGAGGGCTCTCTCTCCGGGGTGAGCGGCGGTGTCGGTCGCTTGTCCTCCCCTGAGCCCAGACATACGCCGAGATGTTTTTCCCACTCCGCGGCCCCAGAGCTCCCGACCCCTTCCCTGGGGCCATTTTTCGCCCAGATCTGTTTCTGGTGCGTGGGACAGAGGCGCATGCCTGCAGTGGAGGCTTTGGCGGCGGTTGTGCACGACGACAAGGGGACATGGAGAAGAAAGGCTTTGTTTTGGGACCCTGCCAACACCAATGCACGCGCGAAGCGGCTACCCCAACGCCCGCACCAAAAATGGATCGACGATGTGGCCAGATTACTTCTCACAGTCTGTGGGGAACAATTGCAAAACATGTTGTGACGGACGGCGACTTCTGGTCACAACTGGAGGATGCTTATGTGCACATTAACAGGCAAAACTGTCTGCACCATCGACTGAGAACATGCTTTCCAGGCTCTGGCTTGGCCGCGCAGCTCTTTCTGGGGCCCGTCTCCAGACCGACGCGCCTCGCCTCGCCTCGCCTCGCTTCGCCTCGCCCAGGCGGGGGCCACAACCGAGGAGCAATGGCGGGATGGAGCGAGTGCTGCCGTCTGCGTGCCCCGCCGCCTCCGGCAGCCCCGCCGCCCAGGAGCCGGAGGACCTCGGTAGCCCCGCCAGCCCCTCCTGCGAGTCGGAGGCCGCGGCGGCGGAGGCCGCCGGCGGTGTGGCGGCGCTGCGCGCGGCGCTGTCGGCGGAGGCGTCGGCGGAGGCGGCGGCGGCCGAGGCCGCGGGCGGCGTGGCGTCCGTGCGCGCGGAGCTGGCGGAGGTGGCGGAGGCCAGCGGCTGGTCTACGGGAGGGTGGGGTGGGGGGGCGGGGTGGTCGGCCGGTCGAGGTTAGAGGTTCCAGGTTTTCGGACGCTTTCGTCCTTTCTCCGCGGGCTTCCAGTCTCGGGATGCTTTTTCCGGCAGCTGCGCCTCGCCGAGAGCGTTCCGGGGGTGCCTGTGGATCGTTCCGAACGGCCGCTGGAGGGTCGAGTTATGGCCCGAGAGCCATCAGTGGCAATGTCTCAGGAGGGGAAAAACACACAGACACAATTAATCGGCGATTCCCCAGAAAGTGTAGGAAAATATGGGAAGTGGGGGGGGAGACAAAAACCCAGAAAGTATGGGGAAATATGGAGAATCATTTTATTCGTGTGTATTTATTTGTGTGTCCTGGGGCCCCTTGAATGTCGGAGGATACGCAGCTCAGGGGGGGTGCGTCGCCCAGTCGATGGGCGGCGCAGTGGCCGTCGCAGACGTCGGCGGCAAAGAGGGCGGCCACGAGGGCGAGGGCGGCGGCGGCGGCAGCGGCGGGCACACGGCGAGCGCGAGTTTTGGCGGCAGCGAGGGCGGCGACCGCGGCGGCTCTTCTCCTCCTCCTCCTCCTCCTCCTCCTCCTCCTCGTTCCCCTCTGCGTCCTCCTCACCTCGTCGTCTTCCCTTCTCCTCCTCCTCCTCCTCCTCCTCCTCCTCCTCGTCCTCCTCCTCTCCTCCTCCTCCTCCTCCCCTCCTCCTCCTCCTCCTCCTCCTCCTCCTCCTCCTCCCCTCGATCTCCTGCTCCTGCTCCCCCGTGGGCAAGATTGAGAAGCCTCCGAGGACCTCCGAGGTCCCTCGTCCTCTCCCTCCTCCCCCTTCTCGTTCCTTCTTTCTCCTTTCTTCCTCCTCTTTCCTCCCTCTTCCATCCTCCTTTCTCCTTCCTCCTTCCTCCCGCATCCTCTTTCTACCTCCTCTTCCATCTTCTTCCTTATAGCTAACTCCTCTCTGTCGCGCCCCTAGACGTGTCGGTAGGGCGGGCCGGGCGTTTTGCTTTAGACTTCCTCACCATTTGCGATCCTGCATTGTAGAACTTCGACATTTTCACGGATAGAGGGCGGTTCCTGTTCAACATGTGACTCTCGCTATGCGCCGCGCATTTTAGTTTGAGAAGTTTGCAGCAGTTCCGCGGAAGGAGGGCGGTTAGTTTTCAAACTGTTCCTCTTGCTTGAGCGCCGTGTGCCTTCGTCCTAAAGTTTGCAGCGTCTTCAAGGGTTCGTATGGTTGAAGTCTTAGAAGTGGTCATCCTGGCACGGTTTAAGACTGTCAGGGCGCAACAATCACGTTGGTCGGCGGCGTTGAAGTCCGAGGAACTGTGTTTTGGTACGATAGAGAATTCTCAGACGGTGGTTTTCTGATCGACCAGTGGCCGCAACGAAAGTTAATGCCTGTAGGGACCCGTGGAGAGGGAACCTGGTGGGAGGTTTTATTGCAACGCCGTTGATGCTTCCCCCCTCCTTGCGTGCGTGCGGCGTCGCGGCACAACTGCTCGCTGCCCTGCGCGAGGTGCCAGGCCTTCCGCGCCGGCAGTGTGGCCATCCCGGGCGCCCGCCGGCCGAAGAGCGCGGCGGCGGCCCGTGGGCGCAGAGCGTGGGAGCCCTGTGTGTCCTCGTACTTCCGTGGTTGGACATGAGCGGCGTCGATGAGGCAGCGCTGATATAGCGTCGACTAGCGTCGACTAGCGTCGACTCAGCGTCGACTCAGCGTCGACCAGCGTCGACTAGCGTCGACTCAGCGTCGATTCAGCGTCGAAAACAGCGTCGGTGAGCGTCGATCCAAGAGGGCCCTCAAGATGGTAGGCGAGGCTCCCATGCGTTTCCACAGAGCTTCCCTATTCCCTTTCCCCTCTCCCCTTTCCCTCTTCCCTTTCCCTTTCCCCTTTCCCTCTCCCCTTTCCCCTTTCCCCTTTCCCCTTTCCCCTTCCCTTTCCCCTTTCCCCTTTCCCTCTTCCCTTTCCCCTTTCCCCTTTCCCTCTTCCCTTTCCCCTTTCCCCTTCCCTCCCCCGTCCCGCCCACCTCGCGAGGCGGACGCGACTGGCGGCGCCCGCGCCGCCCCCCCCGCCTTCGCCGCCGCGGGCGACTGCACAGAGGCTCTGCCCAGACCCGTCGGCGCCGTCGGCGCCGTCGTCGTCGTCGGCGCCGTCGTCGTCGTCGTCGGCGTCGTCGTCGTCGTCGTCGTCGTCGTCGTCGTCGTCGTCGTCGTTGTCTCCGTCGCCGCCGCCGCCGTTCCTCCTCGCTCCTCCTGACTCCTCCTCCTCCTCCTCCTCCTCCCTCCTCTTCTCCTCCTCCTCCTCCTCCTCCTCCTCCTCCTCCTCCTCCTCCTCCTCCTCCTCCTCCTCCTCCCCCTCCCCTCCCCCTCCTCCCCCTCCTCCCGCCCCGCGTTCCCCTCCTCGTTTCCCGTCCCTCCCTCCTCCTCCTTGGTTTTTTGCTCCGGGGGGTATCGATGGAAGATCGAGGTGCTTGGACGTTGGGATGGCGGGTGCTTCGAGGATGGAGGACCGACGAGGAAGCTCAAGGGTGAGCAGGAGGAGTGGGGGAGGGTGCCTGGGCCTCCAACGTCTTGAAACAAAGGTGCCGCGCGAGGCCCGTCTCGGGCCATCTAGATTTATCGGCGGCGATGAATAGCCGAGACGCCTCTCGGTGACGCGCAGCCGCTGGACAAAAATCTCGAGGCCAGAACGCCGCCGAGAACCAACGAAAACGTCGGAAGACCTCGAGCCTCCGAGACAGTGTTCTTACCCCCTGGCGATAGCGGGCATGACGGAGGGAAGGGGGAGGGGGGGAGGGGGTTGGTCGAGAAGGACTCAGTACGGACACCCGGTCCCGGGGAAAGGGTCGAGAGGTCCAGGGCCCCACGTCAGGAAGGAGCGTCGAGGCGTCGGATATCTGGGAGAGGGCAGAACGTGGGGTGGGAGAGGAGGAGTTGGGCGGGGTCGCGGGTCGATGCTGCTGGACGTTTTTGGCTTCTTGTTGGGCCTCCGGAGGCCTCAGGAAGCCTCAGGCGCCTTCGGGAGAACCAGGGAGACCTCCGGAGACCCGAGGGGTGCTGGGCACCACAGGGATCCCCCACCTGTCCTGCGGACAGCCTCTGCTGCTGATCCTCCTCGCCTTCCTTCCCTCTGGCTGTTCTGGCTCGAGAGCGACCTCCAGAGCTGCGCGGGGCCCAAGCCTGGGGCCCCGCGACGCTTGGCGACTGCTGAACCGTTGCTTGGCGACGGCTGGGGCGGTGCTTGGCGACGGCTGAACCACTGCTTGGCGACAGCGCGGGGGCGATGGCGGCCGCGTCGCCCGCGCGGGTGCACGGCGCGCTGCTGCTGACGCAGTTCTGCTGGGGCTCCGCCGCGGTGGTCAACAAGGCCGGGCTCTCGGGCGTCGGGGTGCTGCCGGTGCTCTACGCGCTGGTGCGGGAGGCCACCGCGGCGCCGATGCTCTTCGGCCTGCTCTGGCTCGAGAGGCGCAGCCGCGGGCCCGGCGGTGCGTCCAGGGACGTCTTCGTCGTCGGAGGGGAGGGGCGGGAGGAAGTTGTCTTTGCTGTTTGTTCTTGAAGACTTTCTCGCCTCGGGATGCCATCCACCAGCCGCGCCTCGTCGAGAGCTTTCTGGGGGCGGATCGTCTTGAATGGCCGCTGAGGACCCGAGTTATGACCCGAAAACCACCAGGCGTTGAAGAGGGATGCGGCACGCCGGAGCAGCAGCGCCCGCGGCCGAGGGCGCCAGCGCTGCTGCTGCGCCTGGCGCCGGGCCTGTTCATCTTCGTGGACCAGCTGTGCAGCCTCGTCGGCGTGTCCCTGGCCGACGGGTTCACCGGGGCCGCGTGGCAGCCCACACAGGTGGTCTTCACCGTCGTGATCTCGGGCCTGCTCGGCACGGAGTCCCTCGCGCGGAAGCAGCTGCTGGGAGTCGCCCTGACAGTGTGCGGGGCGTTGTGCATGGTCTTCCTCGGAGGGGGCGCTGGTCGCCAAGCAGGGCCGCACAGAGAGCTCGGGCACCTACTCTTTCTCTCAAGTAGCTTAGCCTCGTCGCTGGAGATTATCCAGTTGCGCAGTCGCGTTTTCCCGCCGGTGCAGTAGGGGCCTTGTGGGGCGCTTCGACAAGGACCTGGCTTTTCGAGGGGCCGAAGGGTTGACATCTGTTCCTCAGCCGAAGCCGGCAGAATGCCCGCGGAAGTCAGCGGGGTGAGGTAGAGACGCTTCTGCCAGCGGAAGCGGGCGGAAGGCCAGCGGAGGCTGGGGGAAGTAGAATCCCCCCCAGAACAGCTGATGCCGACGTGTACCTAATTAGGGCTTCTGGGGTCTGCCATCTAGGGGAGTCAGAGGGCCGCCGAGCGGTAGGCCAAGACACTGGCCAGTCTAAGGTTTTGGTCTGCTTATGGCGTTTCAGGCGGACCTCACGGCCCCTCGGGGCGTTCGTCCGCGCCTCATACGGCCCAGGGGTGGATATTGATCGGAGCTCTCTCGGGCCGATAGTGGAATGTGGGGCATATCCATCCTGGTGCTCTGGAATTTGCGTTTGGTTAGCTCTGGGTATGTCCTAATTTGCAGAGGAGTGCACGAGGGGCTGGGGCAAGGATTCCTCAGATAATGCCCGCGGTATGAGGGCTCGGGGGTAGGGTAACGTGTTGCGGTTTGGCAGTAGCTATAGGGCAAGCTCGAACGCGTTCAGAAATGTGGTATATGATTCTACCGGGCCCCATGGTTGTCGCACATATGGAAGGGTATTAGGATGACGCGTTCGGCCTGGGCACGCCTGCTGCTGCAGCAAAATGCGGTTGTGGATCGTATGGCGAAAGATGCTCAAGCATGCCTCGGCACCCCTGGCACACTTTCAGGTGATGGCCGAGAGCTACCTCGTGGCCAGCTGTCTGATGGCCACTGCCTGCGTGATCACCAGCGTGTCTCCCGCCGCGACGGACTTCCTGTGCCCTGGGTGTGGAGGAAACCCATGGCATTTCCCGACTGAGGCGCTGTGGGCCGTTGCGTAT